TGCCAGTAGACACAAATCCTCCAAAAAGCGCAATTCTTCAACTGAGTCAAGTTTCAAAAGGACTTCAGGTTGGGCAGCTCGACCGGGTAGAATTCCAACAGTATCACTGAGAACGGATCCACAGCACTCAACAGATATCCTTGGACTCACTTTTGCTGGAAGTTTGGATATAAGGAAAGCTACCTACCTACTATTTAGACGAGAAGCTATATAATTTGTCGAGCTACCACAGATTAGCGACTTAAGCTTACTTTGCAAAGACTTGCGTTGAATGGCACTTTTCTCCATTCCAAGCACAGTAACAAGTCGTGTCATCTTGAAGAGAATAAGACATAGACTAGATGCAGAACTCCGCCCACCGGAAAGAAGCTTGATTCAGAAAAGGCGAATTATGTGCTGATCAGACAGCAACTCTGAGCATCGTAATCGAACAGAGCAAGGGATGGCAATAAAACCTCTGCCTCAATTTCATGCATTTTGAAAAAGCGCTCAATATTATTGACCACGAAGTAACTTGGAGACAGCATCGCTACTGAAGAGTAGCTGAAAACTTCAACAACCTATTTCAACAGCTGGTCCACATCGGAAAACCTAGCGCGGCGTTTCAAGTAGGAAGAGCAGTACAACAAGGTTGACTACCGACGTCTGAATAAGGCCACTGTGGAGAACAACCCAACCGAGAAACTACTACGAAACAAATATATATTGAAGAAGACCAAGATGGGTGGAACACAGGTCACTGAGGGGGCCGGAGAATGACATCGCTCTTCAGGCCATCCCAAAAGTCTTTCATCTCCTCGTCGCCACACAGTCTCCTATATACCATCATCAAACCTACAATCAATTCGTTGATTTCCATTCGCGTTCCATAGAATATCAATAGAAGATCGCAAACAAAGCTTGTTTGATATGTACCAGATTTTTTTCATTATCTGAGGACATTTCAGTACCCAAAGGGATAAACTAGACTCAGACAACATTTAACTAAACTGGTCATTATGAATATGAATGGTATTGATAACTGCGAATAATATCAAACAGCAAAGCTACAATATAACAGATATTGATCCAAGCAGTATAAAGGATACTGAATAAATCTCGTCTAGGCATAAATAACTATATGTGCAGGCTAAGGTGATAAATGCGTGAATGGAATTTCAGACGAGATGGAAGTATTCATAAAAGCAATGATGAGTATATTTTGAACAGAATTGTATTGTTCATTAAAAGAAAAATAATCTTTCTGACCTAGTTTATCCTAAACTTTCTTGAATTAGATAAGAAAAGAAGACACAGGAATGTGTTTGTGCGGCATTTATTAATTAAACAGCGCACAGGTCTAAGTGACGAAACTCTGAAAGGAATGTGTGAAGCGGCCAAAACGCGAAAATACTCAATGCACCTTGTTTCATATATTTTCACTTCAAAGGAAAGTATATGAGATTATTTAAGACAAACTGTGATCTGTTATTTCCCAATGTGAATGTTTTGCACAGAATTATAGTGCCGATACTTCTGAGTTAATAATAATTACCGGGATTTTTAGTTCTCAATGCTTTCTTCAATAATGTGTTATCCACATTAATCAGAGAGAATCTCGCGCCACACCTCAGTAGAACCAGTTTCACTTACTATGGAATCAAGAGTGCATTGAGTGAATACAGTGGTTAAATACGAAGTGAACGTGAGTTTTATCAAGTTTGCTGATAGATTACTTCAGAAACGGTTAGCACGTTTCCATGTGACTTTGTTGAGTATCTAAGCGTCAGCAATATCGTATTGTTTGATTTTTTAAGTGTTGGGTTATGCCTAAGACAGACCTCAAATAACCGCTCTTACTAAATACTAAATAGTAACAGTTAAAACAATAATAATAATAGTGTTGAAGTGGGTTAAGATAATCCTACTGATAAACGATAATTTTAAATGAACCAAGAATAATAATTATCAGAATAATAATAATAAGGGGTAGAATAATAAGTAAAACGTATTACCATGGTAGATTCAGAGCCACAACCATCTCCTTTTGTACACAGAGACCTGGTTTGCAAAAACTCGAATTTCACAAGCCTCTGCAATTGCCAGCATCTTCTTGTTTCTTGTCTGCTGACAATAGTGAAAGACTTGACCGCGTAGATATCAATTCCGTAATCCACAAGATGCTTTGTTATTGAGCATTTTGGCACTTTGCACTCATCTGTTTTCAGCCATTTCGGTCAATGCTCCATCATGCGAGTAGACAATCGCCTTTCCGTACAACCTATTTATTTCTATCGATGCGGTCAAGTCATTCACTATGGTCAGCAAACAAAGAAACAAGAAGATGCTTGCAATTGCAGAGGCTTGTGCAATTCGAGTTTTTACAAACCAGGTCTCTGTGTACAAAAGGAGATGGTCGTTACTCTGAATCTACCATGGTAATACGTTTTACTTATTATTCTACCTCTTATTATTATTATCATTATAATTATTATTCTTGATTCATTTAAAACTATCCTTTATCAGTAGGATTATCTTAACTCACTTCAACACTATTATTATTGTTTTAACTATTGCTATTGGCATCACTCTGTTTGCAATTCTTGTTATATTCTCTAATGTCTAATTGCTTATCTAAGTGATGTAATTGAAGCGTAATGCAATTTATCTTAATTTTGATCTCTCATACTCTCTCTCCCCTTATTTATTTGAACATGACCTGGAAAATCATTCGCACCTGTCTTTCTGCATGACTAATTCAATGTAGTTTGTTTACTTATCAGTCCTATATCTCCCAATGTAATTTCAAAAGTATATATATCCGTGTATGTAGAGTATTCAGCTGACGAGTTCTACCGAAATTTGATGAATTCATTAAATCTTGCTTTATTAACCTTTATTGCTTGTTTTAAATATCTTATTTCAAAACGGATCTTCAGTCAGCTCGCTTTCAAAGACGATGATGATAGTATGAGAATGATTTACTAAAAAGAATAGGAGCCGTCCTAAGCAGATGATATCGTGCAGCAAAACTAGTCTCTAGACTTCGAAATTCATGCTGGTTGAGACAATAAACCTCTGGCACGCACCCGTCTGATGTTACTTCCAACTGCGTATATTGATTCACATGTAGCTACAGTGGCAGTGACTTTAAGACAGCATACAGTTTGGCCTTAGTCACAATTTTTGACCTTGTACCAAAAGGAATGAGTAGTGCGGACTTGTCAATAGCTAAACACTTGATGGACCAATGACAGCAAGTTAAACATTAGAAGCATACAAAATAATCAGCAGACAAATCATTCGAAGTCTTTCCCAGTTCGCTGAGACAATTGCAATGGAAATGGCTCAAATGTGACCTATGCAATCGAAAAGAAATCTATAGTGAGAATTGTATTGCCATAAAAAATCCCTGCTCAGTAACTTATTGCCATCTTATTCAAAGGTTTCCCACCTGACTTATACAAGACTTGAATTTTGCTGGGAGTCCAACCAACGTATTACTCTTATGACCAAATATATGCAGTTATGGTCTGAAAGCGACGAAGTGATCTCTAGTCCCCACTATATAACTGATGAAATTTCTGTGAGACACGCGCTATCACTGGCTATCCAAATGCAGGAAAAAGACGATCATTCTTCAATATTTCTGCGGTTGTATTAATCAATAATAACATCAAAACTAAAATTTATGTCAACAGTGCTGTGAGGCAGCTACAAGGAAATGCTAGTTTCTAATTGCAAAACCAGAACTGTAAGGCAACCTTAGTTAACTAAAGTTCAACTGTAAAAGGCAACTTAGAATCGAAGAGAATATTTCTAACTCGTTGGGATCAATAGCTCTGTCCACATTATTCACCTACCTAGGCTTCCCCAAGACAGCCGCGGGTCAGAATGACCTTTGTTCACTGTAACAAACTCATACCGTTAAACAACACATTGTTGAAGTACACACAATCACAAAGGGAAGCATTACAATTCGAGAGTAAACATGGAAAAATGTAAATAGTTGAACGTTTGAATGTCACATGTTGATTTCGTCCTTTGTTAATGATAAACAGTCTAAAGGAAATGCGTGAGACAGTTACCAAGTTAGTTGGGACGTATAAATAAGTAGAGGGAGGGATTAAGCACATCATTTTCCTATTTCAGTTAAATTATCATCATTTCATTTGTCATCTTCGATACCAAATTTTGATTTTTCTACCTTGCGACTTCTAATCACCGTATTTCATCATCAATTAGTACCCACTTATCTCTAAATTACTGCCATGCTAACGACAAATTTTCTCACTTCTACAAGATAATTCTCTAGATATCACTCGAGAAGTTGACGTTGGTTTTCCGAGTCGTTCTACCAATGTAATTGTCTCCAAATGAAAAGTGGAATTTATAAATGCACATTGAAATGGCTGGACTCGGTAGATTGTCCTTCACCTGTATTGAAATTATACCACGGGTGACGAATTGTAAACACAGAGTTGCTGCGAAGAATGTTTGGGCTGTTATTTTTCGTAGTTTTGATGATAGTAATTCAGTTATTGCGGCTCCCTAAAACGGTAAAGTCAGATACTTGAGATGCACATTGAAGTGAGCATGGAAGATATTGACAAAATGAGCATTTCACGTTTCCCAGTCAGATTACCTATTTGGAAGTAGACAATCCCATAGACATCGTTGATCTTAGCTGATATTCCCTTCCATCATTATTTTAAAACTAAATTACTTTGTGTTATTGAAATAATCATCGTCCTGTGACTTATAACCTTTACACGCTCAATATTTTGTTGTTTTTTCGTTTGAAAAAGTTCGCTAATAAAAAATATGCACACAATAACTCTTTAATGTGTACCGACTATTTGCTTTGATATCAATGGTTTTATGTGTTTGTGTGTACAGCATTCAAAAATAACTTACAAAATTCGACTATTGTAACAAAGGTGATTTTATATGAAATGTGATAGCATTAAACCACTATGAACGTACTATGATCACTCTATATATAAAATTGCGTTAATAATTTTTATCAAAAATTCATATTAATATAAGCATGAGAAAATAAGTGAATATTTCCAGAGGTTCACATTCGAAGACAGAAGTAAGTGCGAATTACAAATATATCCATCGTGTTATTTATTCCAAAATGCCAATTATTATGGCGAATATACTTAACGTACAAAATTTGATACACACATTCGTGACAATTATTCTCGTTAAGCAGGTAAAATAATAGTCAGGTTTAAAGTAGCCTTTCTGAACTCCTCACTGGATGGTGTTTCTCATAGAGAGTAAATCATCCATTTCCGCAGAAACTTAATTATCATTATTATAACTTCTGCTTCCGCGTGGAACAAAAGGCTTCAGCAGCATATCTCCATTATGGATAAAATTTTATTTTGATAAATCACACAGGTTTGTACAGTAATATTTACTGTGATTAGTGAATATAACTGTACAACACCGTGTGATTTATCAAAATGAAATCTTATCCATATTGGAGTCATACTCGACTGCCGTGCTCACGTTTGATACTTCTATCAGCAGATCTCCATTTCATTCCTCTTATCTCCCATACATCACAAAATCGCCTTCGATGTCAACCTCGAATTCATGTCCAACTCACTGGTTCCTATTCAGGTTCCATTCAAGCGATAGACGGTAGTTTGGCACCTCAGTCATGACTTGAGTGTATTCAAAGCGGAAATAAGGTTGTATTGACATCGCTTACTTGATTGAGGTATATCCGTCCATAAGAAAAATAGATATCTTCCTCTTGAAACTGATAAAGAATTGTGAATCTAGTGTCTGGTAAAATTATTAAGTATTAATATTCAAAATACTATAGCTTTTGTATTTGTGAAAATCCACAACTAGGATCATATGAGATTTCTGGTCTAATTTCAGGGAATAAAATCATGTCAATTTCTGAAGAATATTTAACGCTGTTCGAAACGTCTAAGAATAAGCTACTACGACGAGATATCCCTTTCAGATATTATATCTGGGTAAGCATATCTTCTATGATTTGTTAAAGAGATTATTTCGTATTTCTAGATTTTGATAGATGCCGTGTTTATGATACTGACGACTACAGCTGTACTCGTCTTGTTTACCAAATTGTAGGATCGAATTACCATTGTGAATACTTAATATTATGTTGATTTGCAGGCAAATAATTTCTAGTTTCTTTAAGCATCATTTCTATTTGACGTTTGTTATTGGGTAAGTTCCCTGCTCATTATTATATATTTATCCACTATTGAATTAACTCCCAGTACAAATCACCAAAACAAATTCACTTATAATACAGAAAATTTTGATGTTAATAGTTGAAACATTTCGGAGAAATTTCAAACAGTACTATTATGTTTCTTGAACTTCATAGAAAAGAAAACCTTTGAATATAGATTGAACTTATTCTGCGTAAGAGGAATACGATTTCAAAGCGTCTTGTACTAGATCTCAGTATTTCCCAGTTGCTTATCTTAATTATTAACTTTAAGTAATATATTTAGTGATTCGTTTCCTATTTGAAATCACGATTGTTTTCCAAGGCTTAGCTTTCAGGGATTATTTGCTGAATAAAATAGACTAGCGCTGCTCGTAAAATGTGCCGGAGTGTAAAGCTGACCTTCGTAGATTACTTTGACCAGTATTGCGCAAAGTGGTCTCAGTTCCATGTACCTTTTATTATGTTTAGTAATCTACTAAATGCGTTCACTTTCCTTCCTAATCAGTTATTATTGTGTAAATAATACTACCGATAATTTAGGAGGTATTATGTATGTGACTTCTAAAAATTCAGCAGTGATCGTTGGCAAACTCGACATCTTCATACTTGAGACTTTGTAGGCTGTCTGGTGTAATTACTGGTATGCTACCTTATACCAGGCGTTGTTAAACGTAATATACTGAATCGCCGACTCAGTCAGTACACAACCTGACTAATACGAACTGGCAACAAAATACAAATACAAAAGATTCTGTTATTCGCACATGTCTTCCGATGACCGACGTATTCAAATAAAGCTGCAACACTATTTTCTGCAGAATATGACGGTACCATCTTTGTATATTTCGTTGAATTCTCATCAGTCACTTACAGCCTACAGAAACTAATAACTTTGTGCACAGAACACTTTAATGTACTTTCAAATAATACATGATGTCAGTAAACAGGGGGACAGAAACTCAATAAACAGTGCGAAAAAATTACACCTTTATAGTTTATACCTGGAGAGTTCAAGTTGAAACAAAATCTATTAACAATAAATAGTGTAACGCCAGCAAAAACAATATCGTTCTGTTTTTCATTCATTGTGAAATACAAAGACCTTTATTATAATGAAAAATCAGTCTTTGTTTACAGTGATAAAGGAGTTACACACGAAATATAAGGGATGAGAAAGAAGACAAGTAACTAATAAAAAGAGTAGAAATGATGTGAGTTCAAATCAGAAAACAGAAAGAAAAGACAAACAAAGTTACACTTTATCAAAGCACAGAGTGGTTAGAGCCAAATAATCTTGCAATCAAATGAAATAGAGAATAAAAGAGATCCAGTTACCAGAGCTAGAAAAGACTGACAACTGCTTGTTTGTGGAAACTTAAACCATTTCTCAAGCATTTGATTGTGATTGTTTCAGTTAAAGCCTGGACAACTGAACAATTTTTTCCGTTGATAATTTTTAAAGATTTCATAATGTTCACTTCAGGACCCGTATTGATGGGATGTATCCAGTTTTACTATCGTCAGCGTCTGCACCTTTGAAACGCAGGCGTTTTGATGCACGTTTAGAAAATTAAAGGTGTGTCCTTCTTTCTGCCATATGAATATTTTTATCACCACAGATATATTCGAATTTGTACACACATTTATAGTTAGTTAGCGAGAAAGATTTGAGAACATATCTGAGTTGTTCGGCTGAACCATACATTGTCAAGATTCTAGTGTTATCAGCAAAAAAGAGAGTGGAAAATGGTGAATGAGTGTGGTCGGATGCTCAAGTATTAAATTAAACTCAAAATACCAAAAGCATTCTCAATTATTTGTATGTTGGTTAGTCTAATTTACTGGTGTCTGCAAATTCATTTCAGATTTGTCGGTGTCATTCTACCAATTCCAATCATAACTATGACAAACTTCTTGTCAAACGTCTTCTGTGTTCATTTGCTGCTTGGAAGTACAGTAAGTGTCAATTTAGTTGTATAACTATGCAATTAAGCAAACTTTGCGCTTATGTTTACGAAAAAAGGAAATGCGCAGCTATATCATGTTGCGGAAATTTATCCGTATACAATGTTCGACAGTCGACCCTAGAGCAAGTACATTTGAACCTATTTGAAACTGGTTTGCTGGATATACTTGCATTCTCCAGTGAGCGATGGTGTTCCTAAATAGCTAGTGTCGATTACCTATGATTTTAAACGTCAAAGCACTGACCACTATACCTCCAAGTCCAAGAGGTTTACATCTTTGAAAATGGACTTCAGTTATTATTCGTTTTTAGGACAATCGTAGTTTTTCTGTTGATTGATGGCACGGAAATGTCCGGCACCTAATACGTACGGTTCAACGATAACTGAGGGTTAATTTGAAGTGATTTGATAAATGGTGATTAGTAGAGGAATTCAGAGTATGCTCAGTTCATCGTATTTAGGGCTGGCCAACTTGATTCACCTGCACTCCATATTGAGTGATGATATTCCCAGTTAATCGACGGGAATATGATAATTTACTTAAAAATAAATTATTTATGCCTGTTTGAGAATTCAGCTTGATCTCGTCTATTGTTAAAAACACGCATCACTCACACCAACCCGTAATGCTTACTTGCTAGTACCGTATAAGTAACCTAAACACGAGGCAGTTGTTTCACTCATTTGAGATCCAGCTTATCGGCCGTGAATGAGAAACCAAAAAATGTCACAAGATTGAACTATTTCAAGGTATTTTATTCTTCACGTAGCTTCTAGTTGTTAAACAATTATTTTGTCCTCAATTTTACTCGTTGTAGGTTTTGCTGTGGTCTGTGAGCTTGGCTGCTGGCTTTGGATCTGTTGACATGTTCCATGGATTGATATCACTGATTTTGACAATTGTGATTACAATCACGACTGTGGGGTTGGCATTGAAATTACCATCAATGGATGATAATCAGTTGGTTGTCTTTACTACAATATCATATACCATTTTGATTTTATCAACTATCTTGATAATATTTAATGTCACCAAGCAACCAAATGTAAGTTTATCTACAAATGCACCTAATTTACAAAACTCTGTTCAACCAATGAATTTCCTCGTTATTCTATTAAATAGAATTCGGTATTGATAGTCTAGAAACAATCGTTTGAAAGCTAGTGAATTCCGGATTCCAATAAATATTTTCCAACACCAACGACCAAATGGAACCTGTCATCCATTTTATTGTACTTTGAAATATGTGAACATATAAATCACTCATTGAAAACTGCGAATTCAGCCTTAATGCGATAGAGAATTGGAAGATGTTGAATCCGGACTGCATTAAATGTGATGCAGGAAAAAAATCAGCTACCATTTCAACGACAATTCAGTGGCTCGTGTTGCGATTGGCAAATACTCAGGCTCTTTAGATATTTATAGGCACCCTACTGACATTTAAAGGATTTGCTAACAGCTATAAGATATGTGACTTCAATATAAACAACTGGGTCACCACTGAATGTTCATGAGAGGGTTATACGTAAATTAGTTATTCAATAAATGAATGTTAGCAGCATTCACACGCTTTAAACTATTGAAAATGAAGATATTTTGGTCCATTGTATCCAGCATTTATTAGTGATGACTGTGGTTCGAAATTAAGATTACTAGTACCAGCATGACTGTAAATCTCTTCCACTATATTAAAGGACGTTTGAGACTTTACGATAACTCTGAAGGTGCTGATTTTGAACCCAATCGGTTGCGTTTTGTTGAAGATTCTTAAACTGCGACAAAATGGCTGTTCAGTACTTTCCAGTTTCTCAACGGTTCGCTAACCTGTAATTATGATACGTCAGTATCAGTAATTATGTGAGTGTGATCGCTTTAATAAAACGTGAGTATACTTATCATCTGAACTTGCCATCTTTTTCTGTTTGTTATAGACACCGATCTTCAGCATTGTGTCGGCAATCATCTTTGGATTATTCATAATCTGTGTAAGTTTATCCGTGGGCTAAATTCGGTTATATTTTTACTTATGCGACAACCGTAATAGTCAAGGGTTCGTTTAAGACAATTCAATTTGTTTCTTGTTTAACCGCAAATTGGTAATGCGATACAGAACCAGTGAAAACAGAGGAAAATCGGCAGCTGCTTCGTTTTAGTTCAATACCTACGAATTAGTGGAAGTTCGAATTTAGTGAAGTCAACTGAATAGTTTATACCCTAACGTTGTCACCATCATTATAGGACAATTTTCTACAGTTTTCAACACTAATTTAAAATGTATGCTTCTACATGGTCAAGAGACTTGATGTGACGTTTCACTAAAGTTTTTAACGGGTAAATGAAGACTCATCAACAATTACTCACTTTGTTCCATAATGAGAATTAAATGGCCACCCAGAACGGATAGGCAGCAGGCAATTTTTGCGTCAAGGCAACGAGAACATCTTATCAAGCTATTATACCGAAGGAAATGGAGGCAAATTAGGTACACACACAAAGGAATCTTTAAAGTCATTGTGTGCCTTGGCACCACTCAAGTAGAATAACGATGGGAAGAAGCGAGTTGAGAGGTAGTTCAGAATTGATACACAGGAGATGGTGTGAAGTGGAGGAGTTGCGAGATTGTGAGGAATACTAAAGCCTGGTGAGTGTGACTACAGAGAACTGGGTGAACTGTAGATGAGCTGTTCAACTTGAAATCCAAAGGAATAATAATAATCGAGCTGCGACAAACCATCATACTGAAAAGTACTCATATATGAATCCAGATAAGTGGAAACGGCGCAAGCTATTCAAAACAGAATTCTTTTGTAGCCGCAGCTTGTGATATGTATACAAGCAGTCAAGCGGAAAAATATGCATCAGAAATGACTAACCGTTTGATAATGAATCCGTAGATACCATAATGTTGGATTATTTCTTCAGGTTTCATTCTGTAAATTAGAATATATATCAGTGTAATGGACTCTCGCAAATGTGTTTACTGATTACTATTGAATATGAATTTCAGCCAATGTATTCTGTCTTTGCTTTTTCTCTTTGCATCACTAGCTAATATTTGGCTTTATGAACAACTTGGACCTGGTAGTATGGTGGTTTTCACCGTATCCATCGCAATTTGTTGAGGCTTTTATCCTCTGGTTACTAGTGTGCTGCCTTTTCGTCATTGTATATACTACTTTAATGTTGCCTAAAATATGGAACAAATAACAGGAATTATTTGTTTGTTTGATATGCCTGAGAGTGGTGTTAAACCTGGTGCTTCTGAATCATGATTTGATATTTATAATTTTATTGGTGAAATAATGTTAATCATGTTCCTTTTCTGTGACGTCATATGTCTTTTTGCTTGCATAATAACCGCTATTCTGTTAAAGTAAATAAAACATCTTAAACATTAACAATACACAAGTAAAGATGTAATCATTAAAGAGAATAAATTTGCATCTACACATATACGATTGTTTCGCACTTATCACTGCTGAAATGAATGTTTAGTGTAACAGCCTGTACACCTCAATAGTCCTCAGAAAAATACAATTCAGACTTCTTATGAGTTCAACAAATATTGGGAAATCCTTTTTTCTCAACTGAGCTATGGATCAATTTCTACAGTAGACAAATGATCACCAGATATTTGGAGGACAGACTATCACTTTGAGCCAATTGCTCCTGTCCAACTAGTTATATGCATAGCACAAGACTCACTTTCCATGAGCATCTCTGAACATTACCCACTATAAGTAGCAAGAGGAGAGTTTAAGACAGATACCTGCTCAAACGTTGAGGACTTGGTGTACACAAGCCATGGAGCTCCACCACATTCGTCTTTTGAGAGTGAGTAGTAATGGTGTAATGTGTATGCTCAAATTTTGAGCTCTCGGGCTTCAAACATAAAGTAGATAGTATAGTAATAGTAATAAAAATAATAATAATAGTAATAAATATAATAATAATATAAACATAAATATAACAACAATTCACACATATCAAGGCCGGAATGCAATGAGTGAATGATATTCACAAGAAGGATTTCCTCCACATACGTAACTAAAACGCTGAGTAGAATTCATCATGTCATACTCACAACTGACTTGTTCAAGCTTAAAAGCAGTATTTATTTTATGAAGAAATGGCATTAAGTGGTATCGAACATTGCTCAGTCAATATACTGTTGATAGGAATAAATGTTATTGTAACAGTGTTGAAGGGCTTATATTCAAATAAGATGAAATACACGGTTTTTACATATTGCTACATAGGTAAATTAGCACAATGGCTCTGAAAATAGGTCTACTATTATCGAAAATCAAAATTTAAGTGGTAGAAACAACGAAGAAGTTGGAAAATTGAACTACAATGAATTCAAGTAATAAAATTAAAAAAAGTCACGAATTGTAGACACTAATTTACAAGGAAAATAAACACAGTTTCTGTTAAGGGAAGAAATATCTCTTCTCAATGCCTTCATTTCCAAACTCTACAGAAGTATTTATATTACGGAAATATGGCATTAATTGGCACTACAAATTCCTCAGTCGATAAACATATGACAAGAATAAAGATAATGATACATTGAGAGGGTAGACGTGAACCGGATGAATAGCAAAAGTTTCAAAAATTATTGAATAAGTGAATTGGTTTATGGATTTTAAAAGTTGGTCGAGTATTGTCTATAAAAATCAAAAGTACGATGATGATTACTTTAGTAGTGGAGTGGAATGAATTCAAGACGTAAAATATAATAAAAGAAAAAGGAAAATACGCATGACAAAGGTAAAGAAGAGGGTTCAACAAAACGTTTTGACTATGTGAAGCTAGTCCTTAGACAATGCATAAGTAGAGAAATCATAAGATTTTAGAACGGCTGAGTTTGGTCCAGTAATTTTGAAGGATAAATCACATGGGTCTGAAGGACGTAACAGAATAGACGTGAAATTTCGAGTGATTTCTCACAAACAGATTCGAAACCTTGAAATATAAGTTGTTATTGATTCTAAGAGATTTGTTGTATACAGAGATCTGGCTTTTCTGTCTCAATGGCCAAGACTTCAGCGATACAGATGAGTCGGATAGGTAGTTAGTTGGTCAAGGCACTTTCCACCTTTTAGGTAACTTAAAGGACTGAGGCTGCAGAGTAAGGATAATCGTAATCAAGCAGATGTGCAGTGAACGTGCTTCGTAATACCTCACTTCCACCTATTATTGACTATGCATGATATTGTTCTTGTACCTTTTCGGAGAAAACCTAAGTCAAATGAACGATATGCCTAGCTGCACACGAGCGAGTGAATTATTTAACGCACATATAAATGGACAACTACAGGATCCAGTCCTTCACGGTTTTGAAGAGTACTGGTCGACTAGAAAACGCTATTCTCAACAATGTACCGGGCGATGTCCATTTTAAGCACTGTAAAATCCTTGTTTTAATGATGCTGAATGGTAAGCTGCCTTTGAATTCGAAGCTAGTATACAGATTACGGACGTAAGAACACGTTTTGTTGGTTTTAGCTATATGTTTTTTCTGCAAAACCTGGTGGAAATCAAATAAATTATAATTATATTTGAATAGTTCATACGCAGTCATAAGTTTTTGCTTTTGGTAATTTTTCCACACTGCTGAAATTGTTTTACTAATATTTAGTGATGAAAATCTATTCTTCATTCAGATTTTAATCAAAAGATTTGATTATTCTCTCCTATCATCTGGACCTCAGAAGGGGGGTAGCAATTGATCGGATCAGGTTTTGATTTCCAGTGTCTACTCAGCTGTAGAAAACCGTCACTTTATATGCATATATATATATTTGCATATGGAACATGCATCAATGGAACATTTTAAAACAGGGATTCTATATCTAAATATCACATATGTTTATTCTAAGCATTTTTATCCTGTATAAAATCGACATATTAAAAGGTGTCACGAAGGTATGAAAAGGTATTTCTCCCCTGACGGTTCCAGGGATTTCAGCTAACCATTTCAATATGGGATGGTAAGGTGATATATTCAGGATAGGTGGGAGTAGTAGTGTAACAACAGAAGACAAGGGCCAGGCAACAGAACGTTTATTACGGAAAATCAACACGCATTTATAGATTTTGATGTACATTATTGTAGGTTAATGTTAGTAGAAAATACAGTCTGTTGATTGGTTGTTTCTTACACAAAGTTAACCTTGCATCTCTTGTGGCTGTGTCAGCTCATCTATATGTTAACTGTATCCGCCTGTCCAGCTTGACCTTTGACCTCAATTACTGTCAACCAATTTGGCTAGCAACCATCTCTCACCACAGTAGGATTGCTTTGCGTAACTCACACAAAACACGTGAAACGTTTCCTGATGAACATTCAAAGTTCGTATTTAACTACTTTTCAGGTGTTTTATCCCATTCGCAGTTAGAAGCTCTATCCATGGGTCCAAAATTTTGCGAGGTCAACCTAAATGCCTACACAAATCATATGCTTTGACAATCTGAACAATTAGTAACCCAAACTAATGATGTAACGCTAACGTCTGAACAGAAACTAAAGCGATTCAAATTAACAATAATCCATTGTTGTTATCAATATCTGAATACAAAACCAAAAGTCTACAACCACCAATTAAAGCAGCATAGAGAATAATTAAATCAACTGAGACACAATAAGGAACTTCTTATAACCCGTCTAGATAAAAGAGCTGGCAAAGTCCTCATACATTTAGTCCCATTGATGAATTTGAATAAAACAAGAACAACAGTGGTTTGTGCAGAATAATATGGTACCATCATTTATTTCGTAGACTTCTCATCAGCTGCTTACAGCCTAAATAAATTATGAGGTTTGCGTACAGAAAAGTTTTAACATACTTGGAAATTGTTACATGTTGTCAGTTGACAAAAGGTTCCACAGTAAGTGAACAGTGCTCAGAAAATTGCGCTTATATAGTTTTTACACAGGTAGTTCAAGTTTAAACAAAATAGATGTATGCATACAATGGTAAAAGAGCTACGTAATAAAGACGAAATATGAGTTAGGTACAGAGTGACTAATAAATTAGGTAACAATGTACTGAGTTCAACTCAAATCATAGAAATAAGTGACAAGCAAAATTACAGAATATAAAAGGGGGTGAGGTTAAAGACAAAGATTACGTAATCAGATGAGAGAATAAAGACATTCAGTTACCAGGGCAAGAAAGATTAATAACTGCTTCTTTCTGAACACATAAATCTGGTTCCAAGCGTTTGATAAAGATTGCTTCGGCAAACTTGAGGAGAATGGAACTCCTTTGTCTATTGATAATTTTAAAGGATTTCTCGATTTCTAACTCATGATCCGTGTCGAGAAGATATCTAGTAATAGCGCTGCTATAAGAGTTTCTTCCCTTGAGACGTAGGCTTTTTGGCACATGTTCAGAAAATCGGAGGTGTGTCCTTCTTTCTGTTCTCCCAATGTAACTGCTCCCGTTATGTATGTCAGGTTCCCCGTACCATTCAGTAGCGAAACAGTTAGGTGATATGTTACAGTCTGTACGAAAAAAAGATATGCCACTTTTTCTTAGGGACACCTTTCAGTTTGTCGACTACGTACAAAATATTGTTCATAATATAATTCAGATATTTGAACGCCAAGAGCAGAACGTAAATTTATTCTTAATTCTGTAGTAAAAGTTTCAGAATAATATTCAACATAAGATATCGTAGGATACCGTTTGTTGCCACAACACTCGTCGATTCCTGCTGACTACTTATTTTTACAATACTCACAAGTCAGCCCATAGTCAAAACGTTTCAACCATCATCTCAGTAGTTTCAAGGAAAATAATTCTCAGAACACTTATGAAAAATACATTTTATGTTGAATGTAATTGTTAATAATGAATAAGAGGGACTCTGATCAACTCTAATAACAATAAGTAGTGAAATAATGTTACTGTTTTCAGGTGATGAAAATAAAAACGTTCAGTCTTTTTTACTCTCCACTTATGAATCTCATGTGGCTTCACACTCTGAATGATTTCAAACTTTGTACTCTAAAAGTGTACAAAAAAATTATCAGTAAATGTTAGTTAATAGAATAGTGAATTATTATTGTAAATATCAACTTGAACAAATAATTCGTTTGTTATAGAGGAGATGCAAAGTCTAATAGTAAAATATCGGCATTTGAATAAACTTGATTGATGTGCACAAAAGTAGTTTTCATACTGACACTATAATAAATTTAATAAATTAATTAACTAATTAAATTTAATAAATAATTTAAAATAAGGATTCAAGAAGGTCGTTTAAGGTTATCACAACGG